CAGTATATATACGATTAACCATTCAGTAAATAGTACAAATGTTGCCAAATTTGTTTGGGTGAAAGTATCTTTCAAGCGTTATGAAATACGCTTGGTAAACTTTCATAAACATATTAATCAGTTAAAGTAATAGTGATTCTCAATAATCTATTCAAAGTATATATCGTTGTGCATGAAAATGAAACAATTTCATTAATTAGCAGCGGTCAAGAATTATCGGAAAATTTAATATAAAAGGCGTCTAAATTATCTTTGAAAAGATATCAAAAAATAAAAAAATTTTTTATAAATTAATTTTCTAAATTCAAATTAAAAATAATAAACAATGAACTCAAAAATTACCATCTTGTTGATTATGTTTATATTCGTCAGCGCTTTAGTACCATCTGCTTTATCTCAAAAGTGTCCTGATCCAGCACCTTTTTGTGACCGCGGTAATTGTTATTCTATTAAAGATATGATATTTTCAAGTAAATTATAATTTAAAATTTACTCATTTAAAAAAATTAACATATTTATTATAGGAACTGAGGTGTGCATCTTTAACCAGAATACCCAGAAGTGCAATTGTTCTTGTTGTGACGATAATGGAACCAATTGTGAAAACAATTTTCCATAATAAATTTCATTTTTTAAAAAATCGCGCGATAAGTAATATTTAGTTCTATAGTAATCAACAATATATATGTTTTTATTAAATAGTTAATTTATTTTGTTTATTACTATTTATCTCGATATCTCTTTTATTATGTAACAAAAAATTCAAATGTTTTTTTTTTAACAAGTGCAATTCATAGTCAAACTACATTATAATAAGCTTACTGTGAATAAAAACTTTTAACAACTTTCGATTTCACATCTTATTACAACTTAATGACAAGATGGTTGTTCCTGATATGGAATGGTCACATAAATTTTCAATATGTGATGTCCACAGGATTTGTGTGAAATACATCACAAATCTGACAAATACTGAAAACATATCATGATGAGGAGGCTAGGTGCAGTGGAATTGATGATACTTTTTGCTCCAATACCTAGTAACCAGACATTGAAAGTGATGAGAAGAGTGATGGGGGCAAGTAATCCTTGCTGTGATGAGTTAGATTCATCATTAAGATTTTGAGCATCTTGAACTTCTGATGGGTCTCATTTAAAGAATTATTTTCAAGCAATACTCCTTTTTTTAGTTCCTCCTCATAAATTATTTATTTTTAGTATGAGTTTGAGAACTAACAGTATTAAAAGTTGATGGACTACAAAAATAACAATCATAATTGTCATAATCTTTTATTTCTATGATTTTCATAATATTCTCAAACCACAAGTTAATTTTTTAATTATGACAAATAATTTCTTGCCACAAACATTTCATTAGGTATCGTTTAATCATGACAACATCAATGATGCATTTTTAATATTTAACTTTAGTAATTCTCAATAAATGTCATGTTATTTGTAATACTTCAGGAAGTATAAATATGTATGCTTGAAATCTCCTTCAGTGAAAAAAAAAATTAATCAATAAAAATAAATAAATTGATTTTTCAATAATAAAACTTTGGTAATAAAAATAACATTTCAATTAATAAATCTGGCATGATTGATTGATTCATAACCTTTTCTGATGATTAATGGTTTGGCCAACATTTAATTACTAGTTAAGAACTCTTTTTAATAGTTTTACTATATTGCTTGTAGGGACGCCTCAAATAGTGTAGTTGTATATGATGATTTTAGTTTAGTTTGAACATAATTGGTTGTGTGCCAGATTTGGTGACTCTGCAATAGAGTAGTGTTTCTATTCGTAATAAAATTTTTTGTTCGAATTATCCAAATAATTTGTTTTGTATGAATTATTATCATTCGTTTATTATTTAAATTATTATCTTTGTTTATTTATTGTTTGAATTATCATCATTCGTCTATTCGAATTGTTATCATTCGTTTATTTGAATTATTATCATTCATTTATTAATCGAATTTTATTCAAATTATTATCATTCATTTATTATTCGAATTATCACCATTCATTTATTATTCGAATTGTTATCATTCGTTTATTATTTGAATTATCATCATTCATTTATTTCAATTGTTATCATTCGTTTATTATTATTCGAATTGTTGTCATTCGTTTATTATTTGAATTGTTGTCATTTGTTTATTCGAACATTCGTTTTGCTCGAATTATTCATTTTATTTTATTTCGTTTATTCATTCTATTCGAATTATTTTTTTATTCAAATTATTACTTGAGTTATTCGAATTACTTGTTTTAATCGAAATAATTGAATTATTCTATATTATTCTTTTTATTTCAAACTATCCGTTTATCCGTTTATTCGAACTATCCGTTCTGTTTGAATTATTCGTTTTTACTCGAATTATTCATTTTATTTCGAATTATTCAAACTATTCGTCTATTTGTTTTATTTGTTTATTCAAACTATTCAAATCATTCGAATTATTATTATTCGTTTATTTGTTTATTTGAATTATCGATTGAATTATTTATTTTATTGTTTTATTTGTCTTATTTGAATTATTCGTTTATTCATTTGTTTGAATCATCGAATCATCGAATTATTTATTATTCATTTCATTTGAATAAACTTTCAATGTAATCCGAATACTCAAATTCATAACGAGTAAAACAAATAATCCTTATTCGAATAGAAGCCCTAATCAAGCAATAGTGATTTTAATTTAGTTTGCCAGATTTGGTGACTCCAATATCTCAGATCGCACGCTCGCAATATTTATTACAGTTTTGCGGTTTATGGCTTTAACGAATTTAGGTTGCATACCGAATTTATTTATATAATGCTGAATTGTTGTAGTTCAGGTAAAATTTTACTTTTTTTTTTTTTAACGGATGTGCAGTCAGGATTATTCCCCGATTCTGGAATTTTCTGTTGATCAACACTCATTTATTTTTTATTCAAAATAATCGAAATAATAATACCTTCAAACTTTCTTTTTATAATCTGTTAATTATGCTTCTACTCAAAATCGATGAATTTTTGTACAAAGAGTTTGTTTTTTTTTGCGTAAATATTTGTACGTTTGTTAAACCTTTTTTTTTTTTTATCTTTATAGTGAACAAAAAGTCAAGACCGTTAGTTAGCACATTACCTTGCTTATTTGCTGAATTTGTTGAAAAAGTCACCAGTTGAAATCATGCGAATCAATCTTGGAGACAAGCATCAGGAAAGGCAGTGATGGAACGTATACAAGTTTTTGCTAAGTGGATTAATTGTCCACAAAGGCTTACATTCTTATTAAATAATAATATTTCTTATTGAAAAAAAACTATTCAATTATATTAACTTACAAGAAAACCGTTCAAAGAATTAGATATGAAATATTCAGAGAGTAAATTAGTGCAAAGCAAGCAAGAATTGAAGAAAGGTGGGAGTATTGTTGTGTGCATCAGTAAATGTTGTATTTTAAAAAGAATAGACATCTTAGCTAAGCATTTTCCTGAAATATCTTTATTGATTATTAAGATATTTATTTAGTATATGGTTATTATTTAATCATACTATAAATATTTATACGTAATAGCATTTGTTGTGTTTTAGTATTTTGGTTCAATTTTTTTTTCCCAATTGAAAAAACCATTAGTTAAGCAAAACAAAATGTATTATAACAAATATTTGGAGAACTTTAGTTAAAAAAAAATCAAAAAAGTTATAGGAAACTATTTTGGAATAATTATTAAAAATTTATTGAAGGGTCTTTGTGATAGATTATGAAAGAATCAGATAATACTTATAATTTATTAAAAAAATGCACAATCATTTATAATATGAAATTTTTTACATTGGTTGTGAACTTAGACCGTTATATGTTAAGTACTGTGTATACACATTATTATATTTGGAAAATTTTTTAATTAGTAATCTTTTATATACATTAATTAAAAAAATGGTATCCTTAATCCTGGGTAGGCTCGTAGGACAGTTAGAAATACACATTTTGGAAGTTGTATGATCTTTAAATAAAGTTCTCGCCAAGTTTTTCTTTCAATTTTTTTAACGCAATTTTTTGATAAAATTTCATGGCCGTTGATCATTGTATCTAGTATATATTTCCAAACCGGGAATAATAATGACTGTAATATTCCGCAAGATGCATAGTATTTATTAACCTTTTTGTTTCTGAAAAAAATAACTTTATCAATTAAAAATAAAAGAAAATCAATTATTTTTGAAAAATAAATTTTAATGCCTTGATCGTCATTCTAAAGCCTATATAATTAATATGCTTCAAAATTTTACACATAATAATCCAGGATCTTTTAATTCTCTGGTATAATTTTTATTACATGATTTTTGGATACTTTTTAATTAAAAACAACATTTTTTGTCTTTTTTGTCTGTTTTTTTTTTGCACACCACTGTAGCTAAAATCAAAGCTCAGTTATTGTTTATATAATCCATTATGAACCTAGAATTTTCCGAATCTGAGGGGAGTCTGGTATACCACGCATATATCGGACTTGTAGAGGAGGTGTGAATGGAACCCTTCGACTTTTATAATGTTTCGCAAATTGAAATACACGTCTCTGTAAATGCATATATTTATTGTAAATTTAAAACAATGAAACATGATATGTATATAAACAAAATACGGTTTTATGCCTCTAAGGCCACAAAATGGGCAAAATTCGACTCAACTAATGGTAAACTGGGTTCATCGATTACTAATCTTGTTGTGAGAAAAGGTCACGATCTATATAATCCATCGGATTGTAGGTCCATCAAATACGTTTGTACAATATCACCTGTAATTAATTTTCAATAAATGACTTTAGTAGATAAAAGATAACAACATCAGGAAATTAATTTAGCGTAAAATTGCATAAATCTTACGATGCCGACGTAATATTGTGTAAATCTTACAGTGCCGACGTAAGTTTTACACTTTTTTATTATTAAACTTACAATTGACACGTGTAAAATTTTTTTATATTTTCCGGATGAAGTTGATGGTCATATAAAAACAAAACCACAGTTAAGAAATATCTCCGACTCTCCTGGACCACTTTTCAAAGACAATTGCTGATTAATTGCTTTTCTTGCTCGCAAATGAACTCTTACAATATCTTTTTTCCTTTTTAGAGGACCACACCCAAATGGTTTAATTTCAGAGACCAATAAAGGGACACCATCATCCACAACGCAAGAAAAATCAGGTCTTTTTTTGTGTCATTAACGGCGTGATCTAACCGCACTTTATAATTATTTGTTTCTCTTCATAAAGATGAGATTTGTATAAGGGTACAGAAATTGAATGCAATGTTCTTGCTCTGACGTTCTTTGTGGTGCAAGATCAGGTATAGTCGCTCGTCTTGATATGTTAAATAAATTTTGTTAAATAGGTTCCATTAAAGGGATTAATCAAAATAAAAAAACATGTCAACTTACAACCCATTGAAGGGTTGTGAAGATGTTCTGCTTAATGGAGTTTCATCTGGATGCATGTAACTGTCCTGGCCTGAAGAATGCTTTATTACAGCCTCATGTAAAGCATTAGATACTGGAACTGGTACTACTGGCTCATTGATTGTATATGGGTTGTTTGAATTATCATCTGTCATTCTTCACTAGTGAAATTAATGTGGGCCATCTCTTCAGCTATATCTTTTAAAGACTATTTTTCTATTAGTGATTATATTCATCGTATGCGATCCAAATTTCGGAGCTTTGACTAAATGCATCAAAATTTAGTTTCATAAAGTCAAACTCATCATCATCAAGATTATTAGTCGTGTGTAAGGACAGTATTGGCCGAGTACAATTATGGATGAGAGTGCTCTTATAGTGATAAAATTTACATCTGAGCATAACTGTAGTCCTCCAACTTCTAAATCTTAAAACACTTACAGACTTCATATGTATTATTCCATGTCAATCCAGTTGTCTTAAGTGTTTTAAGGACCTCTTGCTGATATTGATGAAATTTTTCCGTTACATTTACATTATGCACTTCCCACTGGTTTACAAAAACAATATTAAGAAATTTGGCAGAACAATAAGAAATAAAAAGTTTAACTTCTTTCATACCTCATATAGTGGTTCTTGTTATAAAATCTTGATAATTGAATCAATGTCAAATTGGAAGTCCTCATTATTTTCAGCATCTTCTTCTTCTTCATCTTTATGGTCTTCTGCTGTTGTAAGTTTCGTTCGTTTTGTTTGCTTTTGCGTGATGTGATCTTCATGATTAAACCATGACATGCATGAACATCACCTTCCAATATGTCTTTTTTATAAGGTTCATCAAGATATTGACCACTAATGTGACAAAAAAAAGAACTAATAAGTAAATAATCACACATACATTGCATGTATATACATATAGACATATTACTTACTAATGAATCAAAACACTTTGAATGTAGTCAATGATTATTATCCTAAAATATTAAATACAAATAATTGGTCCTGCTGATTCTCAACTTTTAGCTAAAAAAATACGCATCTGTATCTCTTCTTGATCTTTGCTTTTATAACTTTCAGATTTTTCAACTTGACCTTCTAATCCATGTTTTAATGTTTTTATCGTTTTGTCAGTCATTATAGCACGTATATTGTGCATTTTGCCATTTGTGTCATTCAGTGCACGTCTGACATAATCCAACTATTTAATACAATAAAATCAGTTTCTTATTAAAATACGAAAATTTTTATAGATGATGGTTCACTAACCTCTTCACGTTTGACTTTGTCTTCGCATTGTTTTTTATTGACCATCCTCCAAAATCTCTCCACGCCTGCAGAAGCTCTCTCATTCTATGTCAGAAAGGAAAAAGACATTAGCATGAAATTAAATTTTTTGAAACTACCATATTACTAAAGAACTAAAGATTGAGATGAGTGGGATGTGTACACCTGTTTGCGTCATAGCAATAACATAGTCTATCCAAGAGCACCCAAAGAAAGTCGTAGTCCACTATCACTGGCCAAGGCGTGGTCAGCCAGCTACTTGGGGGGGTGTCAATACGTCACGTTATTGTCTCGTGTGACAGGAACGTATTCTGGCTCTTAGTTCAGGGAAGTCGTAGTCTACTATCACTGGCTAAGGCGTGGTCAGCCAGCTACTCGGGGGTTGTCATACGTCACATTACTGTCTCGGTGACTGGAACGTATTATAGTTCTTAAACACATGAAATTGCCCAATCTAATCGTTAAAGAGAATGTTGTAAAATTCAACATGTGGTTCACATAATAATAGTATTTCAAATTTCTTTAACATTTTTTTTTTTTTTATAAGAACACTAATGGAAGAAGAGGTACTTACTTTTTTCAAGAAACATTCGAATTGGTCGTTATTGAACTTTTTACAATACAGGAAAACACAAGACGATTTTTTATATGATAAAATAAAGGAACATAGGAACTATAAAAAAAGGATTACGAATATTGTCTGATCATAATGATTATGCAAAAAATGCAAGAAAATGTTTAGCCACTTTTGAAGTTAAGTCAATGTTTTGAATTACATAATCAAATTTCACAAAGTGACATGTGCGTATTTCCAAACATCAATTTATTTGTTTATTGTGATACAGAAATTGGAATTTTTATTATTATTGGTTAAAATAAATGGTATCCTCAAAAATATAAATTTGCCAATCAAAATTTATTTAATCTTAGGATTGATTTATTTTACTATTACTATTACTATTACTCTTCGAGCAGGGTTGGCAAATGTATGGTCCATTGGTAATCCATTGGGTCCATATTGTAATCCTTTAACCATATTTAGTATTTTATTAATGGATTCTCAATGAATTTTCAATACTTCACCGAGTAAGGTAGCAGATTTAAAAATCCAATCATTGGCTACCAATTAAAATAATTAAAATCAGGGCACGAAATATGTGATCAAAATGCCCGGTACTTTGTTTAATTAATATTAATATAGATAGAGATAATCCCGTCTCATAGTAAATCTCAATATTTTATTTATATGCTAATTATGTTAATACAATTTCTTCTAATTTATTTATACCAAATCGTAACAACAATTTCGCGAACGTATATTGTGCTTTACTCTCAAAACTATCTTCAATATCGTTAAACAATTCCTTGCTAAGCAATACTAAACAATGTCTTCTTTAGATTTTACACTATATCTTAATCTCGTTTCTTGGCGGGAGTTATCTTAACTGTTAATCCCTGTATTACCAAGTTAGTTATGTTCTAAACTATCTCAAATAAAATTTATTAAAATATTACCTCACAGAGAAAATTTGTTATGCGCGGGATTAGTATGAATTCATCGTTTTATTATCATTACGAAAATATAATATTCAAAGACAACAACAAGGACAAGAATAAGAACAAGGAAAAGGAAAAGGTCAAGGCCAAGGATAAGGACAGTTTGCTATTTATTAAATTATTATTATGACTATTATATGATTTTTATGATGGTACATGAAGTTGAGAAAATTACAACGTTATTTATACATGTTAAAGGTTCTATCATCTAGTTCTCCGATTTCTTTAAAATTCTAATTTATTCTAATTAAATGTATTCTTAAACCCTCCGTGTAGAATTATTTTAACGTTATTTCTAAAGCGACCCAATCATTTAAATTCCTTCGTTTAAATTTAATCTAAGAATTAAAGGTCTGTTACATTTTAGAACGTTAGAATACTTACCTCTCAGTTGTTTGAGTTTCTGCGAGCAATTATTTTATTGATGATTAAATAACAATATGAATTGGACTGGTTTGAATGCTTGGTCAGTTTTTTCCGATTTTTTTTTCATTGATTTTCTGTGACTTGTAAAATTACTATTACTATTACTATTTACAATAGTAAAAAAATCGGGTCAAAATTTTTTAGCCATTATAGAGGAAAATCCGATATAGAAAAACCCATTATAATACAGTGTAGACTGTATATACAACTTTGTCAATGGAGAATGCTAGCATTTTTTTTTTTTTTAATGATATTTTATCTTACTCAATTAAGCAAGCATTTTCAAAGAACAAGCCTTAGATTTAGTGACATTGATCCTGTGACATGAGCAACAATTAAATTATTGATTCTGAATATATAGAAAATAATGAAGACAATTTTGGCACATATTTGCAAGACTTGACTAATCACAATTTCTTCAATTTTGATTTCATGGACATTAACTTTATTATATAATGAGAATGATTATGATGATTTATTTTGATGTAAAATACATATGCTTCTATGGTTATAAATCAAATACAAGAAAGATTTCCTGAATATTCTCTAACCAAAGCAATGAAAAATCTAAATCCGGTTGAATGGTCAGATAAAGGATTCTATTGAGTTTATAAATTATGGAAATAATAAATTAGATACTTTATTAAATTTTTATGGAAAACAAATCAAGAAGTTTTTTCCCCAGTAAATTATGGTGAGAGAATATAATTTTAAATAATTATAGCAAAAAATATATGCAGTTAATACTTTCTCATTTTATTCTGATGTATTTCCTAATTCAATTGTTTCATTAAAATAGTATAAAGTATTCCTTTTTCATCTATAGATTGAGAAAGAGGGTTTTCAAAATATAATTAAAAATAAGATGAGAAGTTCATTAAATACAGTAACTTTAGACATACTAATACGAGTATCCTTGAAAGTACATGAATAAATTTAATTTGAAATAGAAATTTATTATTACAAATAAAAATTTATTTGTCGAAATGATATTTCTGGTGTCATAGTATTATAAAATCACATGGCTCAATCACTTGCATATACACTCACTAGACAAAAGTCGGGCGCATTTTTAAACAAAAATTGCGCAAAAACATACTTAATAATAATTAAATAGAAAACATTGTTTTGCAACTTAGGTTCACCAAATTATATATGCAAAATTTCACATCTTTAATGTTTTTATTAAACCAATGATTAAAAAAAGAAAATTTCGACCAAAATTTTTTTGACAAAACAGGATCACCAAAATTGACTATTTTTTTTTTCTTCAAAAAAAATGATTGTTGAAAAATATAGTCATACCAAAAAATTTAAAATTCGATAAACAAAGTAAATAATAATATTAATATCTTGTTGGCCATCCACTATTTTCAATGACTGCTTCATCTCTCCTTGGCATACTCTCAATCAATTTAATCAGGACATCATTTGTTAATTTAGGACGGCCACTTCGATTTTTTGTAACGAGATCTCTTCTATCAATGTAATTTTGAATAGTACGAGTCGCTGTTTTCCTATGAACACCAACAATTTTAGTTATTTTGTGGTTTGGTACATTATTTTTATATAGACCGATGATTTCACCACGTTGACTTTCACTTA